TAAAAACTAATTTACGAATGAGAATCCAGAATGGTTTTCACATTTGTAAATGGTGCTGCCGCACCTCTCTTATCCCAAATGCTACAGTCAGGAACACAGGGTAACTGGGGAAGAGATACCATTCCAGACACTGTTGCTGCACAGAAACTAGGTCCAAAGGGTGTTAAATCTCTGTTACTAAACAGGAGCAGAATCTAAAAGGTCTTTGAAAAGTAAAACATAGCAGAAAAAGTCTTATAGTGTACTTGGATATTAATTTATTTTAATACTTCACATAAATAAGAGATTTCACTTACAAAAACTTAAACTCTATTTAGCTTCCTACAGTGTACTATTTAATACATCCCAGACAGATAATCCTAATTAGAATTAATGTCTTTGTCAAGTCCTGGCCTAGTTATTGAGAAGATCAATGAACTGCAAATTCTGTGGGGAAAAAAATAAAACTAAATACAAAACTGTCTGTGAGATCAAGTGGGAAGACAGACACTGGTTTTGGAAACCATTGTTGAAGAGTAAAATTCTCAGGGCACAAACAAGACAGAAAAGCAAGAGTGCTGTAAATTAACCTGAGCTGCTCTTCTCCACTATTAAATTCTCTGTTGAAAATGTCAACTTCACTAACGCAAATATATACCTGGCTTCAGAAACAAGCAAAGTTCTGGATCTCAGAAAGGAAGAGCCTTGAGTTTGTAGCTGTTGAAGCATTACATCCTGCAGCCACAGGTCCTTCAACTACTTGGTGTAAAAAGCAATGAAAGAGCTCAGGAGTTGACAAGAAGGCAATTATGTACTTAATATGGAAATTAACTGCAAGCTGAGATAAAAAATGGGTGATGAGGAAAGAAGCTGGAAAAACCCTAGGAATATAGTAGGAGTCCTATTAAAATGTATGTATTGTATAAGTGGCCTTGCCCCAATCCTAGTTGTTCTAAATGGGCTGCAGCTGTGATGTCCTTAAGTGGCTGGCAGCTGTGGCTAATGAAGATAACTGGGATAAAAGGGGGTGGGCTGGCTGGTCAGGGAGAGTCTTGGAGGAGCTCTGATGGAGAAGCAGGAGCAATGCTGCTGTGAAGAGCTGTGTGTGAGTAAAACCCCCCTGAAGGTATGGGACTCTAGAAATATGATAACAACAAGTGGTGATCCCGACGTGATAGAAGATAGGACAGCTGAGAGCTGTGGCAGCCCGAGAGCTGCGACTCTAGAAATATGATAACAACAATATGAATACAACATAGGAACCCCTTAGACTGGGAACATGAATTCTAGGAGGTATCCTCAGCTGCTGCTGTTCCATCACTTTCATTACTTCAGAAAAGCCTCTCCCTGTAATTGAAACCCCTTGATGAGCAGGAGAGATTTGGTGCAGGAAGGGAGCAGGGGAACATGGGGCTGTCCCTCCCCCGGGGCACTGAGGAGCCTGAGTCTCTGGCTGCAGGAGAAGCTGCGCTCATGGATCCATCTCCAAAGGGCCCAAGGGTGGAAGCAGCCGTGCTGAGGGACCGGCGGTGCCGCTGCCCACACCTGCCCCATCAGGGCACCAGTGCAGAGCAGTGTTTCAGCATTTATTGAACAAAATACGAACTACAGTGCCGGGCCTGAGTAGGTAAAAAAAGAGAATGGTCTACTTGTAGCATTTAGCAGGAGCTTCAGGGGAATATTTTTATACACGATGGATACTACTGAACATAAACTAATTTACGGAGGTACTTGGAATCAGGTCAAGAACAACTCCTTAGCTACTGAGGATATACTTACATTTATAATCCCTGTAGTGGAAGACCAAAATACAATTTTATAAACTCCTATTGTTAAAAGAAACCATTTAAAGAAATTAAATCAACATAAAAGTGACCTTTGACATGTTTAATTCAAATATTGTGTTTGAAATTCATAGCTCCTGTCAAAACAACAACTCTGTAGAGACTAATCACTGAAGTCCCTGTGCTACTGCTGAGTTAAAAATCAAATGAAAAAATCCAACTTGTACCAATTTCTTCTTGCTGTGGGAGAAATTGCATCTCACTACCTTAAAATACATTGGCTTTCAAAATTCTCAGTAATTTCATTTAACCCAAAGTTTTGCCCTGCACTTCACGGCAATGTCACTCACACAAATTATGAACTCTCTGTGACTCAGGGGTGATACAAAATTCTGATGGGAATAAGGAAGGGTTTTAAAAGATATTGGTGAAACTGCTGGGGCAGAAATACAGGTTTGAATTTGGTGCCAATTTAATGAGATACTTACTGAAAGACTCCACAGTACAACCACAGATGCTGGAAGAAAAAGGTGTGTGGGCAGAGGGAAGTTCCAAGGCAGCCAAGGGCAGTCTGGGCTGCTGGGGCTCCAGGGAACATCCCCAGGCTCAGGACCATGGCCACCCCTTCCCTCCCTCCCCTGGATGCAGGTTGTCAGCACATACAGCTTTCCTCTCAGCTCTTCTCCTTCATTGCTTTTACAGGATGTTATAGATACATATTATAATATTGGCATTTGCAAATATTAAAATTGATTTTATATGTGTGATGTTAAAGTAATTTTTCTATAAAGATATAATTTTTATTTCTGTTGTTAATTAAGCTTAGACATAGTAGTGAAATAGCTGAAAGAAGTATGCTTGTGTTAAAATGCCTGCTTGGATGGGATATCATCCAATGAACACAGGATGAGGACACCTGTACAGATCTGCCAACTATCAGCACTCATCATCTGAAGAAAGTGTGGACCAAGGCCCAAACTGGAAGTGATAAAGGAGCCAAAACCACAGCCAAGAAACATGCATGCTCTAAAAAGGCAGACCCAAGGAGGGACCATGTAAAATAGTTCCCAGAATATGTAAACTATTTATGGATAGGCATAAGGGTCTATGAATATGCAACAGGCTGATGTTAGGGGAAAGGTATTTAAGGGGTATCCCCAAAGGTAACAGTGTGGTCTGGCTGAGTGCCAAGATGCACCTGCCATAACAATTTTTGCTTTATGGTCCTTGTCTCCTATTGTCCTTTATTAAACTTTTTAAATTTTCACAGAAGAGTGAACGTGTTTTTCACATAGGAGAAGCTGTAACACAGAATGATTTCCTTATGGCTGAGTTCATTGCAGCAGGGCTTCTTCTAACCAATTTCAAACCAATAAACACTTTGGACGGTAATAATGCACCTGAATCATATTTTAACACGTGTGAATTAGATGAAGACTTTGGTGAGATTAAACAAAGGTTGTGAGAACTTATCATATTTATAGAGAAAAAGCCAGTTTTGCCTTTCCCCCTTTCCTATTTTTATTATTCACCACTGCCCATAAAGATGGCTTGAGCTACACTTCAGGCATTCAGAATGCTGGGCAGTGCAAAGAAGTGCCCAGACAAAAAAGGAAAATGTGAATCATAAAGATAAGAGAGAGCTTCAAAAAGTGTTTTAAGGCTTCCATAACAACAAAATGTGCAGAAAAGCTCTCAAATCAGCACAATGAGTGTGTCCAGCACCAAGATAAATTTGCTGAAAGAAAGCGATTCTGAAACACGAGTTAGAAATACAGCACAATATATTGTGGAACCACCACTCCAGGAATGAGGAGGGCAGAGCAGTGCTGCTCAGAGCACTGAGCGCGCCACTGCTGAGATCAGCTGTTGCTGAGAAATACCTGTTAGACTGCAAGAATCCATTTAACCAAAATTTTGAAGAAGACCCGTTATCTTATGAAGTTGACACTGAATGGATTACCACACTAAGTTTTGAAATACATGTTCTGGAAGCAATTTAAAGCTCATTAGAAATAATTGTGTCTGGCCACTGGAAAATGTGGTAAAATTTAATCCACATCCAAATGCTACCTGAGCTGTGAGCACAGGAAATTGTTTTGTGCTACTGTGGCTAACCTCCTTGCTGACCCTTAGCAGTAACTGCTAGAGCAGCTGAAAGCTGAAGCAAAATTAAAAACTTACATCAAAGTATATCATGACAGAATGTAGATAAATAAAAACAGCATATTGAAAATATTATTTTTATGTCAGCCTCTTCTAATGAAAGGGAAGAGGTTTACTAAAATGTAAAGAAACCACAAAACAAAAAATGGATGGTCGCAAGATGCATTGAAACATTCCTGTGCCACTGGGAGTTCAAAAACACACAGTAACGAGACCTGTACATACAGAATTAAAAGTGAAATATATTTGGGATAAAGAATGGTGAACTACACTATTCCAACTCCTCTCAATTCTCTCTGCTGTCTATTTTAAATCACTATTGCTCCCTCAGACCGGCTCCAGCCGTAATGGACAAGACACAACAGCCCTTGCCAAGAAGCTGCGGAGCCCCAACAAGGATAATTGCCTGACTAAGTGCATCCTACGCCAGGCTTCCCATCTTCTGAGCAGATCACATTAGCAAAGGCATCTCAGAGCTGTCTGCAGCACAGGATCAGTGATAAATGAGCAGCAGGAGAGGCCACACCAGCACTCCCCCAAGCACACAGTTGGATCTGTGCGCACAACTCAGCACTCGCCGAGGTGCTCCTCTTCAAAGCTACAGAAAAATTCATCTTTTGAATTTTACTCCCTGACAACTGAACATACGTGCATATCTTAAAAACAGGCATTTGGGGATGTTTTCTGCTTTGCACTCAAACACGTGAAATCACTATATGCCAGTCTAGGGAAAAAGGAGTCTCTACTCCAGTCTAATACTAAAGATTTCAGCATCCAGACTCACAAGCTTTTGTGTACGTTCACCCTCCCCAAACACTTCTACCCTTTTTTCCTCCCCTTCTCTCTTCAGTCCAAGCACACACCTTACAGCTCTTAGAGAAATGAAATGGAGGGATCATTCAGACACAAATAGACATCCCAAACGGGTTAAACTGAAGGCAGAAAGAAAGCAAGCAACACACTGGATGACCAATGTTTGTTTCAGTCATTTCCACACTTATTTCCTGCACACAACAGTACAGGACCCACACAGAACAAAGCCACATATAAATTTTAGCTGATTTGCATCACCTGAAGAAGGCCATATGTGTGAAGTATCTCTGTGTTACCCAAAACTGCCTTGATTGGTGTAGTCCAGGCTCAGGAAGAATGCACATGATGTCAGCAATCACCACCGTGGGTGAGGAGAATCACCTGATGCACCTCACTTCAGTCACTGATTCCTTGTCAAAATGTTGACTGGACAGAGGTGTATCTCAGATCCCATTTTTATATACCTGTAGGTTTACATAGCAAGAAAACTCCCAGCTGACCTAGGACTTAACCAGAAATTTTTGTGTTTCATTTGGTGCAAATGAAATTCCTGAAAACAACACCTTTACATGCATTTTCTGTGTATCATTGCATATGAAAGAGGAGGAAAAATCCTGTTCTAAAACAAATTTAAATTTCACTTACCAATGGAAGCACAATACCATGAAGCCATATTTTTTTATTGCTTTATGTTCTGTTCTTCTCAGAAAAAGGAGCAGCCAGGCTGAGCTCCTGTCTGTGGAGAGGGACCAAGTCTTTCCCTACAGAACCAGAGACAAACTCAGTGTCAAGGGCATGGCAGGGAGGAGAGGGGAGAGCCCCACAGCTGGAAGCCAGGTGCTCAGACAAGGGTCTGCCAGGGCTCCAGGTGGTGGAAAATAGAACTTCACAGGGATGAGAGGAGCCTGGCAGAGTTTATGGCAATCCTCTCAGTCAGTGGATTAATTGACAAAGAGACTGAAAGGAAGCGCCTTGCTGCAAAGGACAGTGTGAGGAAAGGAGATGCTCGCTTCTATTTCCCCCTCTGCTTCATGCCATCACCTTGTGTTTCTCCCAGTTTAAAAAGGAAATTATTGTAATACACATTTCAGTCAAATCTATCTTGAGTTAAAATGTGCCTTTGATCAGCTCTGAGGAGCTCACCATAAGCTGCAGGCACACACAAGAGGTCTGGCTGACTTGGTAAGATAAATGAGCACATTCTGTCTGTCATCTCCTGACATTTGCTGTGCATCTCCTATTTTTTTCAAATACTTCAATCATAAAATCATGCTGAGTGAGAGAATCTCAACTATTTTTGTGATTTTAAGTTACTTGGAAGAACGGTACAGAAGAAAACTTGAAAACTGAGCCCCAGGATTAGAAGGCATGTATGAGTTTATTCTTTTATCCAAATCACACAATTTTTCAGAATTGGAAAATTCAGGGTCTGGAAACACTGTTCAAGAATCCAAAGTGAATTTTATGATCATCACTTGGTTTACTTGTTTGTTTTTCCCCAGATGTCTGCCAAGATTACACAGGCTTAAAAGACAAATACACTTTAAAAGATCATAGACTATTATGGATTACAGTTTTTGTTAAAAATAAAACTATTAAGATTTTCAGGAAGGCATTGGAAAATAATGCAGAATTCCTTTACATCAGTACTTTTATAAGAATTTGCAAGTTCAAAAGATTTTACTTCGTTAATGAAGCACATTTCCAGAAGTTACATCTTGCTGTACACTGGAACAGAAATCTCAGAAATCTCAGAAACTACCACTTGGTGACAAAAGCTAAAAATCCCAACAGCCATTATTCAGTGCTGATCAGTTGTAGTATCTTGAAATATTTACAGTGGGCAGGGAAACCTTCCCAGAGCAGTGTGAAATGGGGCTGGGTGAGGCTCACTCCATGCCCAGAGCCCAGCAGGGTGATGGCCAGGCTGTGCTGTCCAGCTGTGCCAGCTGTGCCAGCTGCAGCCTGTGAAATCCCTGTCCCCACATGGGCAGGGCTCGTGTGGGAATAAATCCTGGGGTGGATTCCCAAGAGTGGGCTCTGCCCAGCATAAATCCTGGCAGTCACTCACCCAACAGAAAAGCTGCACAGTTCCTCTTGAGTCACACCTGAGTGCTGGAGGGATCACTCGTGGCACCCTGATGTCCACATGCATGTGCTTTAAAGCAAAATAAACCCCACAGACACTGGGGGAGGCTCTTTCCCACATCTCCATTTTTTCTCTGCTTTTAGCTGATGGGTGATTTTAAATGTTTCTTCTGGAGGAGATTAAGCACAGTACTCTTAAACCTGTGCTGGGTGAAATGTCATCCTTCCCTAGGAAAGCAGTTACGAAATACATGGAAGAGAACACAGGAGAAAGCTCTTGGGGGCAGAAGAAACCCCTGCCCATTGCAGGGGATGTATTCAGTGACCTTTAGCAGGTCCTTCCAACCCAGCCCAGTCTGATTCTCTGCTCACTTCCCCTTTTCTGTGGGGCACACCTCTGAGATGCCACACAGTCCTAAGGATCTCTCCCATAATTTAGCAAAGAGGGTGATCAGACTCTGGACACAGCTCCCAGGGGCCCCACGGCTCTAGAGCTCAGTTTTTGCTCCCAGATCTGCACTGGGCTCAGATTCCCTTTCCCACTGCACAATTAAATCCCAGCATGAGTCAGAAAATGCTGTCTGGTCCTTATGTGTAAGAGCTACCAATACCTTAGGGCTGGAAATTTTATCAACTGCATACACACCATAAAAGCTGCAATTGAAAACAGAAGGTTTCTTTACAAAGGTTTTTGGGGATTTTTTGGGCATAAATTAGGAATGAAGCAGGTTGAAAACAACTTGTGTGGTTTACTCAGCAAGGTTTAGAAACTTGATGCCAACAACTGAGCTGAATGGATGCCCAATAATATGGTTATGTTTTTCCTAAGTGCAGAAAGGATGGTAAATGCTGATGGAAATAAATTAAAATAAAAAATTAAAAAGGAAAATATGATTGCAGTGGGATCAGGTACCATAAGACAAATAGGGCTGAATCATCATCATGACTACACTTTACATTTTTTGAGATCAGCTAAGATTTGTCTTTTATCTTTCACACATTTTCAAAGATTGTTTTTATTTTGCTGAAAAAATTTGGTCACTTACAACACAGTACATTTGCAAAAGAAACAAAAATTATTTTGCAAAAACTGAAAGTTACTTGTGTGTAATTTTTTTTTCTGTTACAAATAAATGCTTTAGGCATTGCACAGATACTGTTTCCATGTCTGACAGATCAAATGGAACATCACATTTGAAGTTTTTTTATAAACGCAGCCATGTAACAAACAATTTCCAGACCCCAAAATCAGTCTGAATGAATGCAATAAAAGCAACTTTGATGGGCCAATTTTCTTTCTTTAAATGAAACAAGCCATTAATGGCTTTTCCAGTTTACAGAAACTACAAATGGGGTTTCTCTACAAAAACTTGGTAATGTTCCTTTCTAAATATTGAGAAAGCAAAATCATCTGCAATGTCAATTGGGGTGTAATACCAACTGCTAGTGTCAGAGACCTGTTGCAGTTGCAGGCATGAGTGGGAGTAGTAAAATGGAGCAACTTATTATAAACACTTTTAACAGTGCTCTAGGGTAGAGCTGTTATGGTCCTATTATGTTTTGGAAGAGCTGGAATATAATTTGAATCCATAAAATCATCCCACACCTATCAATCAGCCTGGACCAAACACCTCATGAGTAGGTGCATCTTTGCTGGAACACATCTGGAACACATCTGCAGCTGCCAGAGAGCCTTGGGTTAAAGGGGACATGAGCAGCCCTGGGTTAAAGGGGGACATGAGCAGGCCTGGGGTAAAGGGACACGAGCAGCCCTGGGGTAAAGGGACATGAGCAGCCCTGGGGTAAAGGGACATGAGCAGGCCTGGGGTAAAGGGACACGAGCAGCCCTGGGGTAAAGGGACATGAGCAGCCCTGGGGTAAAGGGACATGAGCAGGCCTGGGGTAAAGGGACACGAGCAGCCCTGGGGTAAAGGGACATGAGCAGCCCTGGGGTAAAGGGACACGAGCAGCCCTGGGTTAAAGGGGGACATGAGCAGCCCTGGGGTAAAAGGACATGAGCAGCCCTGGGGTAAAGGGACACAAACAGCCCTGGGATAAAGGGGACATGAGCAGCCCTGGGGTGAAGGGACACAAGCAGGCCTGGGGTACAGGGACATGAGCAGCCCTGGGGTAAAGGGGACACGAGCAGCTCTGGGGTTAAAGGGACAGAGCAGCCCTGGGGTAAAGGGACATGAGCAGCCCTGGGGTAAAGGGGACATGAGCAGCTCTGGGGTTAAAGGGACACGAGCAGCCCTGCTAGATGGGCAAACCCCAGGCCAGGGACCAAGAGCTCCGGAGGCCTGAGCCCTGCACTGCCAAGGTGGCTCTGGCTGCAGCACCTCCCAGTCCTGCTGAGGATTCCCCAAATCCAGCCCTGCTCAGCAGTAACAACTCACAGAACTTGTACATCACAAGCCAGGCAAAGGGTTACACTGCAGAGGAACCATTAATGAATACCCACCAATGGACACATCACTTTCCTGGCTTCTCTGAAGGGAAGAATTCTGTTTGGAGATGATCCATCAACACTTAAACGCTGTGATTTTAAAAATAACAGAAAAATATTCAGATCTTCATCAGAGCTGAACACAGAAATGGATTCACTTCTAAAAGAAAGAAAGAAAGAAACACACACATTTGCTGATCACACAGTACAATTCAATGGATTTACATATATATATATACAGGAAGGGTTTCACACCTCCAGGCCATGCAGCCCCAGCTCTGCTCTGGGGTGGAGATGAAGCCCAGCCACAGCCCTGCCAATCAACAGCAGCACTGCATGGACAGATGGACAGACAGACAGATGAACAGACAGATGGATGGATGGATGGATGGACTGCTGCTGCCTGAGGCAGCTCCACACTGCTGCATCCTGCAGCCACCTGCCCCAGGCTCTGCAGCTGAGCTATAGAGGGGAAGAGGCTGACATGATAAATGTACTTTAGACCTTGCTTCTCTCTCCTTTATGGAGTTCCTCACATTTGGAATCCAACAAACAAGTTAAGCACACCATGGAGAGCTGTCTAGCAATAAACTGGGATTTAAATTCAAATCTCACTTACCCAAGATATTCTCAAAGGGTACAGATGACCCACATCATCTCATACCTCTGAAAGCTCACTAAAGGCAGCTGCATTTTTACTGAGGTAGACTTCCAATACAGCTCACTCTCAGGAGAGGGTGGTCAATTCTCCAAATGCAGCAGATGCCAGGTAAGCTACAGAGCTGAGCTGTGTTACTGATTCTCCTAAGCCATCCCCATTCCTCAGCCCCATGGCACTGCAGGGAGAGGCTGCACAGCCTCATGTGGAACTTCATGGCATAGAAAGCAATCACCTTTTCAGATTTCATGGCAAGGAGAGTTAATTGACAGCCAAACCCTCCAAGCAAAATGTAAGCCAGCAGCAAAGGCTGCTGATACATCCAGGATACTTCTTAATTCAGAAACTTGAAGCATTGAGTCCATATTCATTGACCAGGAAAGACTGGAAACTACAGTCAAATTTTATAAAAGTCAGGGTCAACAGAAAGGCTTTGGCAATTTATTGCTTCTTTTATAAATCCAATAAGATGGAATAAATTGGTTTTAAGCAGAGTATTATTTTTAAGCGTTTCTAACCACAAGCTTCAAGGAATCTGGCTAAGGCATGAACTTAACCTGAGCAGTCAGTTCAAGCTCAAAGGAATTCAAGCTGCAAAAAACAATACTGAAGTTTAGGTCCCTGTAAGTGGGCAATAACTGCTCTTACAAAGAGATTACTGCCTCATGAGAAATGCATTCTCTTCTTGTGATTAGGAGACATCAGTCTCTGCAGCAGTTTGGCTCTTTCAAGCTTGCACCTAAACCTGAATAGTTAAAACACACAATCAAAAATTTAGTTCTTCAAAATCAGAATAATGTTGAAGAAGCCATCTTACTACTGTTCATGGTTTTATTTGGTTAAGAAATATGATATGGATTTGGACAAATATGTAACACTTATTTGTCAGTCTGGTGAAGATTGTCCTGCTTGTCCCAGTAATCCACAACTGGAGCAGCACAGGATCAGCCAGCCCAGGATCCAGCTCAACCTCAAGTTTTAAATGAGCATGAGATGGCCCCTGTCCATGGCAGGTCATTTTTCTGTGAGCTCAGAGTCTGTGTACACTCAGGTATTTTCTATAGGCAGCTTCATGCACTCACCCACAGACATCAGGTGTGACTGAGCTGACTGCAGCTCTGAGTAAACCTAATGATTTCATTCTTCTGACCCATTTTCTTATTGCAACCCCTTTCTTTTAGAGAGAACAGAAATCCTTAAACCCAAGCATCAGCTGGGAGGAGCACGGGAATGGACTGCTCTGGGTTCCCACCCAACTAAGAAACACTAAGTGAAAAAACAAAAAGGTGGATATTTCCCTGAACTCATAACTGAATTTTCATGGATGTATCTGACTCCAGGCTAAGGACCTTAGACTGCATTCTGGTATTAGTATGGAAAAAACAGCTTAAACACTCAACATCTTACCCAGGCAGCCTGGAAGTAGACTAAAATACCTAAGGAGAATCACCACTGCTGAGGAAAACCAGGTTTTGCCTGTCTACCTGTGGGTACTCAGGGTTTGCCAAGGCCACACCTGCTCATTCAGACCTGACCCACAAACTACAGAGCCCACATGTTCTGAATACAAAAGACAAATAAACTTTCTCAAGCTGTGGTACTGCAATCGTCATTGACAGCTTGACATATCAATATTTCAGGAAGAATAAATGACTTTCATATCCAGGGGGTTGGTTTTCTTGGTCTGGTTGTTTGTGTGTTGTTTTTTGCTTTGTTTTTTTTTTTTTTTTTTTTTTTTATTGTTCATTACTGGATACTTGGGAGGATGCTACACTTAACACCTGAAGCTGCTTAAAATATTTGGAAATATTTTAATGAAGTCTTTTGAGAGATCACCTAACACAACTTAAAAACAAATTTTACTATTATTATAAATATTTTCTCTTCATCCCTTGCCAGAGGAAAACTATAAATCTTGTCTCAGCTGAATGAACACCATTTATCATATTCATTTTCTTGTCAATACAATTATGAAAAGCCTTTGGCCTTTTTCCAAGGAGCCTGATTTGCTGGAGAAACTCAATTAGTATAAGCAAGGCTGCTACAGAGCAGCCCTGTTTGGCAGCCCAGCACAGCCCTGGTGTACCTGCAATGCTCCTCTGAGCCAGGAGCCAGACAACTCCATCCTGGTGCTAAAATACAACAGTGCCCTGCCTTCCCTCTCTCTTCCCTGGACCAAAAGGACTTCAAAGAAATCATTTCTGCTCATTTTTGCCATCTACTGGACAAAGCTTAAATCCTAAACACTGTGATCAGGTGAGAGATTACCCAGTGTCATTTGTTTTCTTACAGACAGGCCTTACACCCAAAGTATTTCCTACAATCACTTGAAAAGTTTATCAAGACATTCTTCTAACAATGATTTATAAGTGACTTTTTCTGGTAGTACTCAATACAGAATAAACATCACCTTAAGATATATTAAAAGCTTAGTCTTTTATCTCTTGCCTCTTTGTATTGTTTATTAATTGAACAAATGTAAGTAAACAGAAATTATTTTTTATAATATTCTGTGTTTTCCATTTTCAATATTGAAATACTGGGGCTTCAAACATAACAGAATAACAACTCTTTGTAAAACAGTTTTTCTTTGCTATTAAGCCCATTTTCTGATGATATATTTGAAACTAAAAAAGAAACATGCTAATATCAAGGATATTTAAACTTGATACAATAAAATTGGTACCTGACCCTCCCTTCTTTTCCCATTTACCTTTTTGTTTTAACTACAGCAAATAAGAGTTGTGATCATAGCAGCTCATTGTGTTGCAATGCTTGGGATCAACACCTGGATGCAGCTGGACTTGTCTGAATGAGGAGAAATCCACTGAACAGAAGCATGCACTTCTCCTTGACAGCTGAAGCGGATGAAGAAAAACATTCTGAACCTGTGCAAGGGAAAAGAAACTGGGAAGGCCTGAGCCTTGAATTCCACACAAAGCTACATGTCCACATATTGTTACTGAGAATATGGAATACTGAAATCCAAAAGCTGGATTCTGTTTTTATTTATTTGAAATGAACTTAATCCATGAAGTGGAAGGACTCAATTAATTTTTAAATATCAAGAAAGGGTCCTCAGGACTGTATGTCCTGGAGCCATCTCCATGGGTACATCCCTTTCTTTCCAGAGGAGCAGAGGTAAGATGCTGTTACTCCTACCACAGCTGGAGGTTTGCAGCTCTGCACAGGAGCATGACACTCGTGGTACACAGGGCAAAACAAAGTCAAACCAATATGGGATGGAAGCAGCACTGATCTGCTTTTACACGTGCTCCTGATTTTATGAAGTTTCAGGGTAACACAAGCACAAACAGCACTAACAAATGTACCCAGTGGTGCCCACTAGAAAATGAGATGCTAATTCACAGTTGGCCTCAGGAGTTGGGTGGCTCGTGTTGTTTTTGTTGTTGTGGGGTTTTTTCCCCCTCCAGTCTTCTAAAACTGAAAATAAGGGATGCCTTCCACTGATTTTAGGAGAAATAAAGCTTACACGGCTTTCTGTTTTGAATTTACTTTCTTACTACTGAGCCTCCACAGACAAAATCCCTGCAGGCTTGTAAGGGTCTTAAACAGGGATTTTCTGAGTGGCCATCAGGATCCTACTCCCCAGCATCCAGGCATGGCAGGGGCTCAGATCTTCGGGGCTCCTGTACAGCCTGGCAGTCCTGAAAGGATAATTCCCTACTTGTGATTTAATATTGATGCATTTTCCTTTCTTAACCAAGAAGATTATTAGTGAAAAGTAGAGCTTCACAACTGACTTTAAATAAAAATATTTTTTAAAGCTTCGTTTCTTGTAGATAATGTAATTGTTCTTAAATGTTATTTTTTCCATAAAACAAACACATAATTAATTTTCATAGTTTTGTGAGATCTAAATTATAAATCAAGTATTTTCATAATCCCTCACTACATATTTCAGCAGTTTATTTCCAACATGACTGTGTGCCTGAGAAAGAGCTACAGCTACTGTATTTATAAAAATACAAAGCATTTCTCCATAGGGTTAAGAAAATACCCTGGGGCAATATTGTATGTGCTAGTTTAAAAATGCACACAATATTTAAGGCAAGCAGAGTTCATTATCATTACTTTTTGAAGAAAACTACAATGTAAAGGTTTTGATTTGGTTTGCAAAAGTCCATTTTCTTCTGGATCAAGACAACTGCAGGTGTTGGGCTATTAATAGACTTGACATAAATAGAAAGTAACTGACTAAATTAAAGACATGATTCATACCAGAGAAAGAAATCTCCCCAGATAGCACTTGTATGGTGTTTTTAAGCACTTTTGATGTTAAACCAAATGTAGGTACATTGTATTTGCAATGAAAGACACGGGTTTGGAGTTTTTTTCTATGACAATATTAGGGATGTACAAAGGGAAGTGTTGGGGAAGATGGAACAGGAAAGCCTTATGATTTTGAGAATACAGAAATTATATGCGAGATTGAAATGAAAGCAAGCTTTGAGATCCCTCAGTTACTGAACAACTGGAAAACAATGGTGTGGCCGGCTGAAGGCAATCCCCTTTTGATGGAACAACACCCTCTGCTTGCAGACAGGCCCGAGGGTCAGAGCAGACCCTGCAGCTTGGCAGAAGGGGCCCAAAGAGGAGTTTTTAGGGTTTACAATGTAACACAATGTGGTAATATAATGATTCTTATAGGCTGTATGTAAATGCTATAGGATTTGTATATTGTACCAGACTGGTTAGTGAGAAATAGAATATTCAACACAGTAGAAGATTTATTGTATTGCAACGGGAACATTGCCCTCTTATCCTCCTTTACTCTCTCTCTCTCTCCTCTTTCCCACTCTCTTCACTTCTCTCAGTCTGCTCTGAGCTGCGGCTGGCAGTTCCAGCAGGGCCCTGCACCCAGGCCCTTTGCAATAAACCACAAATTCCAGGAGCTGGTTCAGAGATCTCTGCTCTCTGTCCGTCCTGACCGTTCTACTGCTCATCGCTCCTACAGGGAAGGAAGCGCCCTGGATGCGTTCTAGGCTGGCGGTGGGAGGGCGAGGAAAGCGCCCTGCTTTGCTCTGCTCCGCCCTGCCCGGCCCGGCCTGGCCCAGCCCGGCCCTGCCTTGCCCGACCCTGCCCAGCCCAGCCCGGCCTTGCCCTGCCAGCCCTGCCCTGCCCGGCCCTGCCCTGCCCTGCCCTGCCCAGCCCAGCCCAGCCCAGCCCTGCCCGGCCCTGCCCAGCCCAGCCCTGCCCTGCCCGGCCCGGCCCTGCCCTGCCCAGCCCGGCCCGGCCCTGCCCAGCCCGGCCCGGCCCTGCCCTGCCCTGCCCTGCCCGGCGCTGCCCTGCCCTGCCCGGCCCTGCCCTGCCCGGCGCTGCCCTGCCCGGCCCGGCCCTGCCCTGCCCGGCGCTGCCCTGCCCGGCCCGGCCCTGCCCGGCGCTGCCCTGCCCGGCCCGGCCCTGCCCGGCGCTGCCCTGCCCTGCCCGGCGCTGCCCTGCCCGGCCCGGCCCTGCCCGGCGCTGCCCTGCCCTGCCCGGCGCTGCCCGGCCCTGCCCAGCCCTGCCCTGCCCGGCCCTGCCCTGCCCGGCCCGGCCCGGCCCTGCCCTGCCCAGCCCGGCCCTGCCCGCTCCGTGCGGGGCTCCAGCGCCGATCCCGCCCCGCGGGGCCGCTCCGGGCGGGGCCGCTCCGTGCCCAGCGCCGCTGCCAGCGGGAGCAGACTCCCTAATTGATTTTCACGTTAGCGCTGAGCAGATGGAGCAATAATCAGCCAATAATGGGCACATATCTGATTTTGATTCATTAGCTTAAATGTCTTGCTCCAATCTGCTTTTTTTTTTTTTCTTGAGAAAAAACACAAAGGTCCTCGGATAAAAGAAGATTTCCACAAGTTTTCTAGTGCTGATATTAGGAAAATGCTTAGGAAATATCTTGGATTATTCAATATGCTCTCACAATGAATAATGCAAATTAAAACATTATATATGAATACTATGTATTAACGTTTAAAAGTGCTTCCTGTATTAATATATTTAAAGGGATAATAACAATAAAATGTTAATTTAAGTTTGTAATATTTTGAATGGTGTAAGACTAACTGATACTCATAACAAGCTCCAATTAAGGCTGCATTGAGACTCCCATTGTACTGTTATTTTAACATATCTTTTGTTGTTTTCTTGGGGTTTTTTAAAGTAATTTTCCAAGTAAGTTTTCTTCAAAAAATGATTTCTTACTTTAGAGGAAACGATGCAAAGCTTTGCCTGTGTTAACATTAGTTCTGAGATGCACTTTTTGCCCTTTGATGACTGAAGTGTGGCTGCAGAATCCTACCTGCTCCCCTGCAGGCCACGCTGTGTGCAGACAATTAGCCCCTACCAAGGGGACATTTTCAGGATAATTAATAGACATCAATAAGAAACACCAGTGAATGAAAAATATTTTAACAACAAAACCAAACTTTTTGATTTACTCACACATAAGTATTCTTCTCTAAATTGCAGGTGGGATTGTACTTTTCTTTTTACAAAAAAAAAAATGACCATTCTACAGAGTCTGGGGAAAAAAAACAATCACAGAACCATGGCAAAAAGTAAGGAGTTCCCTTTTTAAACCCAAGGTTTTCAGTATTGTACTGCTTGGTACTACCACTGCAATATTTATAGTGCTGACAATTACAAAAGATAACAGTTACATATTCATTTTACTTGATCACATAAAGAACAAATTATGTCTGATGCCTTGTAAACTGCTCCATGTGAGCTCAGAGCAGGCCTAATTTCTACTTTTCATATACAGACTCATCAGCCTGGCTGACCTGGGTGGCATAGACATAGATTTATCCCAGGACAAATGGAGTTCTTTATCAAAGACTACTGAGGTTGCTGAGAGTATTTTAATATTTGCATTTCCTTTCTGTTGTGCATTGAAATGGCCTGAACTCACAAAGATGCTCAGAGGTCTCCACTCTCATTAACTTTAATGGGACTCTGAAATCACTAGAGAGGAAGTGTTCAATACTGAGAAGATGCAATATAAAATTGTAACTTTATAGTCATCTGTATTTTCATACTTGGTGTGCTGCTTTGTCTGCACAGAAAATCACTGTTCAGCAGACAAGGTGGCCAAAACATCAAGAATGAAAAGAACTTGGCAGCAATTATTTATACATCTCTCTGAGGGCAGCCAGGGATGCAGCAACAGATACGAGGAGTGGAAACAGTCCATTCTGATTTTGGTTCCCTTGCCCATGCCAGCCACAGAAAAAGGAGACAACAAGGCTGCACAAAGCAAGTCTGGGGCAAGGGAGGAGGGGAGCCAGCACAGCCCCTGGCAAGACAAGAACTCACCTTCGTTCAGGCACTGCTGGGGACAAAGAGCTCCCTTGGCGTGGCTTTGTGGGATGGGGTGAGAGAAGGACAGCCCAACCCACAGGCCACCACCTGTCATTATTCTGTCACCACAAAAATTAGTTTAGGAAAATGCTCTTTTGCAAATCTATTTAAGAAACAGTTTGGCTGTGAGACTTTAAAAACGATTAATTAAAGTAGATGCCCAATTTTGTTTGAACTGCAGCCCCAGGTTTCTGGGAACCTACACGAACACTGGGCAGCTTCAGACACCCCAAATTCCAGTGAAAGAACAACAACTACTACATAAACCACATTTTTTTGTTTTCTATTATTAAAATTGAGATTTTTTATCAAAAAGCCCATAACCACACTTCTTAATAAATGACCTCAATCTGCAAGATCTAAGATATAGATTTATTATTGCATCAGAACTCAGAACTGTGTAAGATCACACTGCCACAGCCAGCACCAGATGAACAGCCCACAGAACAGCCTCCAGAATCCCAAGATGAATCCTGATCCAGTTAAGTCACTGGTACATAATACCCTTAAACTCTAATAGGAACAAAAATCACCCTAGATTCCATGTTTGCTTACCTCACATTCAGTAAGAACCTATCCCTCAATCTCCTAAAATCCCAAGAGAATCTAGTTTTAGTCCACTGTAAGTAATCAAATAGTACTTATGTGCATAAAATGTATTAATGACAAACAAGATTACATACTTTTACATCTGCTTTTTGTGTGCCATCCCATGGGATCCCGAGTGTCCTGCAAACTTCCCAGTGATGGCAGGAATAGCTGAGGCTGCTGCTCCTTTCCCAGCCCTTCCTGGGGCAATGGGACAGCAAATGGCCTCACCAGCAGTGGCCAAAGAGTGAGAGGAGGAGTAAAGAACAGCAAATACAGGAAACCCAGCAAAAAGAGCTTGTCAGCATTCTGGGGGTATATACAGTCCTCTTCTCGATGATGAGGCAATTTTGTGCAGATTTCAGTTTCAGAATATCCTTCCCTGAACGTCAGTGACAGGTTTCCTTAAGATTTAATTATAACAAAGCTATTTTTAAAATAAATTCAGGTACTTGGTTTCAGAGTCCCGAGGCCTGTTTTTCAATGAATTTTTTTCAAGGGAAAGGAGCTGGAGATGTAAATATTCCCAGAAAAGCCCCTCTGACTTGCCAACATGTGCCAAGTGTCTGACTGAGGCCATCTAAAACACATGAGTCTGCTCACACCCACCACCCCCAAAACAGGGCTGGTAATGGAAAGTCTGACAGACCCTTAACTATAGTGGCACTACTGGGTGCAGCTATAATATTACCCTCATAATTCTACTATATAATAACAACAAAGGAAAAAAAAGGTGAAGGGTCATTGTGCTTTGTCTTTAGAATTAAGATGGCTGTCTTCATCCTTACAGCATACTCTTAATTCTGGAGACACATCTTAATAACCTCTAAATAGTTCCAACAAAAGAGCCGTGTCAGAGGAATGAGCAGGCCCCAAGGTGTTTCAACTGGAGTGTTTTCATCTGCCTTTATTGCTCTATCCCTCTCCAGAATTAAGGCAATAACCTGTGATAAATTATTCAGGAACTGCTACAGGGATCAAAGCAAAATCATTCTGTTAAAGTGCTGTTTGCAACATTTGGCACTTAGTGTGAAAACTTTTAATGTGTGCAAGCTGAAAATCAACGATTTTAAATAATTTAACAGCATGGAGTTTCTACAAACCAGCTAAAGATAGCATGTTGCTATTTAACTGCTTTTTCTTCAGATCCCCTTTCCATGCATTTGTAGCAAATCTGATGATGTCACAACTATAAACAAAGTACTACTGAGATTCTAACTGCCCAGGCAATACATTCTTACCCACATCGTCAGGAGAAATCTTGACATTCTTAGGAGAAAATTAGGCACTGTTTTAATACTGGAAATTTTTCCTATTAGTATAAAAAAAACACAAAGAAGAAAGTAGCAAAACAAAACAAAGCAAAAAAAAAAAGGAAAAAAAAAAAGGAAAGCAACATGCATAATGACTTCAGCCATCTTCAATTACATTTGATATCCCTGAAAAGGAAACCTAACCATATGCTTAGTATGCAGATATAATGATTACAAATGTATTTTATAAAGAAAGATCTCTCTTGTTACAACTGTTTTTCAGTGGTGTATTTCAGAAATATTAAAAACCTAAAAAAACCCTAGCCAGTTAAAAAGTCCTAGTAAAGCCCACAAATTAAATGAATTTGGCAGTCCTGGACCATTTTAATAGTGATATTTTAACAGTGTCATCTCCCCATGGATTGCAATACTAAGCATTTTATTGAAGAACTGAACTGTTTTTGTTTTCAGTACTTGCAAAATGAAGTACCTGAAAGCACTTTTGCATGTATTATTTATTTATTATGATAGGAAAAAATAGCTTTAACCTAATAAATTGCGTTTAAGATAATTTAGAGCAAAAGTTTTGTTTATGATAAAGCATTTAGTTCTTTATCAGTAGCTTAAAGCACCAAGTTTTCTTTATACAAATTAGACAGATGGTGCTTACAGTAGAATTTACTAAAGGTCTGTCACAACAAATGCAGCCAAGCTGCATATTTAATCACTGCAGAACCTTGTCTACCTGCAGCTGCCAACTGCTAATCCAATTTCCCTGATAAATGTGGCAAGAGACACGATCAGCAATAAAGAGCATCTAACTCCATTTTCCTGCAGGGCGTCTTTTGATGAACATTTAGGACGGAAGCAGGAGTGCACTGTGTGGCCCTGGCTGGTGGCAGCTGCATGCATTGTGGAGACACAGTTCTCAGGTTACTCACTTAATTCTGCCACTATCATTATGTTGCTATTGATCTCAGTAGCTCTTGTCTACACAGCATTACTCTAGATGAAGCTGAATCAGGCAGTTATCATGCATCAAACTTGCTCAAAAGCCTGGAGATTTCCCCTTAATTACTTGTGATTTTATTTGCAAATACCGTTAAAGTGTAATCAAGCAGTCACTTTGCAGGGTCGTTAAGAACTTGCTAGTTTAGGAATATATCACTGGCACTCCATTAAAATTTCTCTACTAAGACAGTTTCAAGCAATCCAGACAGGACAATGGCAAAATTATTTTAATAAATTGAATCCTCACACAAGAGGAATCCAGTTTCTTACAGAAATGGTCATGTCACCAAATGACCTCCTTGTTCTAATTTTTAGGATTTATAACTTAAACACAGGAGAGGTGAATCCAGGACAGGTGAACTGAGTCTATTTTATACATGGAAAGGGATTACAATTAAATACATAAAGCAACAACAAAGAGGAAACCAGAATTAAGTAACTGTTGAAATAACCTTTAGTACGATAAAAAAAAAATATATTGTCCTAATTCAAGCAATGACTATGAACTGCACATCTTCTGGTACTGTCAGCCACATACTGCAGCCAATTATTTACCAAATACTTCCAGCACAACTGTTTATTTCCTTGTGAAAAAAGCAGATAAATATTATGAAGCAGTATTTCAGTTGCCACCATATTTAAAAATAGCAAATTAAAAATTACTGTTAGGATTTCTTCAAAATGCCCCTGTTTAGCTGAAGTGAGCACTCCAGTGTGCAGTTAGCTATTGATTCAGTGATGGCAGAAGAAGATCTCTTTAATGCAAGAGTGCTCCAATACATTATCATTCCTGATGATGCACCTTGTATCCAGTAAGTCTTTTTCTTCCCTAAAATATACTGTTGTTTTGACACAAACAGCTTGCTACACTTAAGGATTTTACTAATAAAACATAATGTTGTGTTAGATATTATGACTGTTGCCACAGCTGAACTGCCTTGTCAAATCAATCCTAATATGGCTCCCACAGGCACATAAAAACCTTATTTAGCTATCAGTTATCCTAATCACTTTGTTCAGTTTAAGGGTGCAATACTTCAAGACCCGTTCCAATTTATACATATATGCCCAGCCATTTAATAAAGTCTTGATTTATATAATAAATTCTTGTTTGGAAAAAAAATACTTTAAACCAGCAGTGTTTTATCAAGTGTGTTACATGTCTCCTCATACCCCCAAATAAATATGTAAATATACACAAAGAGGATAGAAAAGGGGAATATGGAACAGATAAGCTATCACTGAAGAAAAATCTGTCTCTGATTATAAATAAGCCTTAAATGGGGTCCCCTGATCTGCAAAACACTGGAGAAATCCCAATGCCTTTGCAAATCTTTGTACAAAGTTTATCTAGGATAGTTTTCACAGCCTTTGTACCTGCGCTGTGTGAATTCCCAATAAAACAGATGTACTCAGGAACAGACAGCCACACACATGCACAGGGGCGCAGAGGTGCCAGGCGGCTGCTGAATGCCTGCCCCACTCTCAGCTCTTCCCACACATTGTTTCTTCCCCTGCAATAGAAATAAACCTGCCTTTGCTTCTTCTTGTTCAAAACTACTGCTGAGTATCTGAGTGGTGCCTTAAATCAAGCTGTGGGGGGAGCAGGAAATTCTCAGACTCGTCCTCATCCTCACCTACAGGAAAAGAAACCAGAACAAGCCAGCAAAGGCCTCATCTTCGCATGTGTTCAGAAGGGTCAGGGTCTGAGGCTTTCACAGAGAAATCTCACATCGTGGGAACTTCATGGGACCTACAGGAACAAAAACCTGAGCTAGGACACATTTTTACTGAGCTACAGACACCACAAATCATTGATTTCAAACGACTTGTATCCAAGACTGGTTCATGTCCACATTTCACACCTTTCTCCTTTTGATATTTCCTCTGTTAACCTGCAGCATTTGTTCGCTGCCCTACAAGAATATTCACATAAGAAAATCCAGATTCAACAGTTAGAAAATGGTAAATTTAAAACAATATTAAAATAGATGCTTTCACGTGTGCAGTTTATGATATTTAAATGGCAATCTTTTCTGTTCATATACTGTTTTGCCTGCCTCTGCCTATTTGGGATAAAGAATGAAGCTGCCCTGGAAATGAACCTGGGCTGTATTGGGATTATGTGTAACATTGCCTCACTTGTTCCAGAATATGTGAGTTTAGGAGACACAAGTTGCTGTGAGAAGGGAAAAAGATCAACAGCTGAAAGGTATCCTGCAAGCCTGGATTGATTTTGTTTTGTTGTGATCCCAAACAAGTAACTGTAGACAACTCTCTAGAAATGGCAATCTGCGCAAGGATCAGCCCTCACCTACTCATCTTTAGGCCCTAATGAGGCCAGCAGGCTTCTCCCACGTTCATTCCCCGTGAGACTAATTCAGAGTAGGAATTTAATTTATGTTCTTTTAAGGGCTCTTGGCTATAGGGCTTCTCTCCCTTCTCTCTTCATGGGCAAACTCTGGGAAGCTAAGTGACAAATGGAATTAGGAGGAGTCTTTTGTGTGTTAAACTGGTTGTGCAGAGTTAGTGTGAGCTTAACAGTTCAGTTTCCACACTTCACACAGCCACCTGTAACACAGGCCTAATTCCAGCCCCTTACCTTTAGGGATACTGCCCAGACCACATCACTCACCCCAGTGCAACAGTGGGAATGACAGAAAATGCCAGAAGAGCAGTCACAGGGACTGACAAATTCAGACAACACCCTGTAAAGAAAAAATCATAGTAAGTAGTAGCTTTTCTTGAAGCTAAGATGACACATCTTCTGAACTGAAAGAGCCAAATATCCTCTGAGAGAAGTAATTGTGATCCTGCAATTAAAACTGCTCTGTAACAATGCCAGTATTTACAGTTGCACTGGCAATCCAAGCCCTGCCATTTCCTCAGTCCCTAATACCCAGCTTTGTAACCTGAACTGCTCTGCTCTAATACAGGCCTTTCCAGATTTTTCTTAAAGCAAATACATGCAATAACTTACTGCTGCTCACTGGTCAGCTCAGTTACAGAGCCTTCAAAGTACAATCTGTGCTCAAGGACTTCCTTAACCTGCTGAAGGGTCTGCCCAGATCTGTGAGCTGCATCCTGCACCAAACCCCAGAGCGAGAGGGGCTTTGTGCTGGGTCCCAAAGCTGCTGCTGGCAGCCAAGAAAGGGTCTGATGGACTTTGGGCAAACCCAATTGGAATTTCATCTAGAAATATGTACAACAGAGATATTCCTTAGGACATTAAAGACTGTAATCTGTTATTAATTAAAGCAATTACGTTTCATGGTATATATTCTAGTCACAAAAGAGACACATGAACCCAATTACTTTTATCTCACTTGAGTTACAAGAGATAAAAATATGTCCCATCCATACTAAGCCATGTCAAACACTTCACCAAAGCTGAAACAGAGCTGTGGAGGTTGATTGCTTTGACTTCAGCAAGGTCTTTGGCACTGTGTCCCAGAACACCCAGAACTCACAGATGCTCCACAAACCCCAGCACACTCACTGCTGCCACTGGGCTTTTCTGAGTGCTTTCACTGTGCCATCCCTGCACATCACTGACCAAAGACTTCGCTAACTTTTATAAGAATAAACAATTTTCCTTTTAATTTTAAGTAGATTAAACTCTTTTTGAAACAGGTAACATTCTAAGAATAGGTTTTATAGCTGCCAGCTATTGGAAAATCTCCTAACTTAGTTTTAAGGGTTGTTTCTCTGCCAATATATAACATCCAACAGGGTTTTATTTTGCAAAGCTTCATAGTGGGTTCCCCCCAATTATAGGGCAGAGTCTTTAATAACATGAGGCTAACAAACACAGGGACTGAGAACATTTGAGAGACTAAAATTATTTCACTCCAAGTTATATACGCAGTGATAATAAAACTGCAGCTATTTTGCTACAAAAACATAGAGTGGAAAAGTTAATTATCAGAAAGAACAAAACATGTATGAGAGAGCACTTGGCTTCACAAACATAAAGGAAAGACTAACATATTCCATTATGTAAATGAACTCAAAGATATTTCACAACTGATCAGCTAGGAGGGACATAATGATTTATAATTCAAATAACTGAGCTTTGAAATCAAATTGGACTAATATATTTCGAAATATGCAAACCTGGGATAATTGTGAAAGTAATGGAAACCCTGATACCAACCCTAATCATTTGTTGTCTTTGTTGATACCTTCTTATGGTTTTTCTTCCTTTTTTTCTGTAGTGACGTTGCTGAAATTATGGTTTGCTTTTAATTCTACTTTATCCTTTAGAAAAAGACTATAATACACATAAAAAAAGAAAAATACCAACTTCTGAGACTGTGTAAAAGCTGACTGGTCTACAGGAAAGTACTGAAATGAAATAAATTATTACTTTAACCTTTCAGAAGAGCCACAATTTAATCTATTTCAAATACTGAAAATTGATCCACTGGATCTAGCATCTTAACAATACACTATTTCTTTCAAAGTAATATATACTTAAAGCCTTTAAAAAAACCCCAAATATAACGTGAAAAGGCCAAAGTTTGCAATGCCAGGAAGTAGTTATAAACTACTTCATATGTTTGAAATAAAAAGTACTTCAGTATTATTATTAAAAAAAACCCTATTGGTAGAGTTTTTAATAGGAAAAAATACATATCTTTAAAAGCCAAAATGACCAGTGAAATTAGGTTGTACATCATTTTCTGGGAAAAAGGAAAAACAGCCTCGACAGGTGTAATTTATCATTTTTCTGATTTAATACCAAAGAAATATATTAAAATAATAAAAAGAATCCTGAAATCCTCAAAATTTGTAGTGATAAATAGCCCTCCCTGTCTTTATTGCATTATGCCTACTAACAGAAATATTGCATGGTGGATTTCGCCAGACAAGGACGATTATTTTCCAATAAAAAGTTGCATATTAAATTCCAGCACAAAAGTGGGTGTCTAATACTTTTGAAATCTTTTATGGTTTGCCAGGGAACACAATTTTAAACTTAACTAATACAAGCTCAGGGTGAAGTGAAGCAGCACTGAAGCTGCCTGGGCTCAACCCCACCCCTCCAAGCAGCAGAGCAGCCATTCTCAGAGTTCCTCCTGGAATCATTCCAATGGAACTCATTGGGGGTATTTGTTTCTTCAGCTAATCTCTCTTTTTGCTGATCTTTCAACACTTTACACTGCTGATAAAGAAGTTTATTCATTTAAAAGAAGAGGACAGTGCTGCTGGACAGCCTAAGCACATAGCAGGGTCTGAAACCGCTCTCACAACAGTTTTCCAGTTTCTGCAAAGAAAAACCCCAGAGGTTCATCACAATGCCCATCTTCAAGAGAACTTAGACTATTAAGTATCTCCTTTTTCATCCTTTCTAGGTCCTGATATTATTACGTCTATTCCACGAGCAGAAACTCATTTATTGCAAATATAATGTGAGCAATCTGAAAGCTATCCTGACTTCTCAGCCTTGGAAAGGATTATTTGCACCAACAGGGTACCTTGACCCTTCTGGAGAGCTCCCATGAGAATCCATTCCTTTCCAAGCCTCCAGAAGACAGCAGGAGATGCTGAATGCTTGCTGGCTGTGCAGCAATGTGAGGTGATTCTGTCGGGAAGCACAGGAATAACAAGGCAAGCACCCGCAGTCAGGAGCCCTGAGCTACATTTCATGGGGATTCTGAAAGTGTTCTGAACCCTACAGAAGCAATAAGTATCCAGTAGAAAGGAGGAGAGAGCTCATTAGTTCCTTCATAAATCTTGTTAATGAAATAAATGTCTCTCATTCTGGTTTTGTTGAATTCCTTAGCAATGTTTCAAGTCCTTTCCAGTCTGATCTCTGTGATGCCATGAGAAAATAAACACATGCATATTTAAAATATCAAGTTAGCTGCTTAATGGTATTTCAAGTCAGCATATAGAAGTACACTTGTATGGTTTTCATTAAACAAAATTCACTTATGGAATGTGAAAACCCACACTCATCTTTCAACCCAAGGAAATATATTAAAATTATTCCTACAGTATTAGAGTTCTATGGAGAAATAAAATGATACCAATTGTCATATTCCAGGTGCCTTCCCCTCTGTTTGTGTAACAACCCCCTCTAGAAAATTACTGAAAAGTTGCTTTTGTGAGCCCTGGTGGTTTATTATCTGTCATACACCTTTAAATATTGTGTCATATCAAACACTGCTACCATTTTTTTTTTTTTCTACCTTCTTGCTTGACTGACTGAACACTCCAGGAACAAACATTCTTCTGCAACTTATGGTAAGTGAATATTAATTAGAATAAGCTACAAAAGGCTCCAACAGAGAGCAAGTTAGCATCCATGACTGAACAAAAATTTCACAAAAATATCTGAACCCAGATGAAAATGCACATGAAAAGTCACGATTGCTTCATCAGTGACACTGAGGAACCCCAAACCAGGAATGACAAGACATGACAAGAGCCTTTTGGGGAAATCCTGCAGCCCCACCGCCTTCTGCAGGTTCAGGGTGAGAGGTGGGGCAGAGGCAGGACCTGCACAGCTGCAGGACCTGCACAGCTGCAGGACCTGCACAGCTGCAGGATCCCAGGGAGCTGGGAGGGAACATCCTGTGCTCACCTGCTCCACCCAGCAGGAGGGGAAGAGGTGGCGTTGGCCTCGGGATGGAAGTGGGAAACTGCTGCCAGTGAAGTGTAGGAATGGAATTTTTCAAGTGAGGTTACAGAATGCAGAGTGGATCAGGCTGAGGGACCCCAGGGCTCAGCTGTGTCACCTCCTGCCCAGCAGGGCCATGCCAGAGCTCAGGGCACAGCAGGGTGTGCTCACAGCTCTGCAATGTCCCCAGGCAGGGACACGGCACAGCCCCTGCACATCGAAGTTCTGCCTCCTGGGCAGGTGGAACTTCTGGCAATCTGTTTGTGCCTATTGACTCTTGTCCTGTTTTTGGCACCAGTGAGCAGAGCTTGGTCCATTCTCTAACACCCTGCATTTGGATACCAGCCTGCTCAAACAAAAGGGCCCCATGATCTCCTGGCTTGGGAGCCCTGGCACCTATTCCTGACCATGACATCAAACCTACAGAATCACAGAAGGGACCACGGGATCACTGAGTCCCAGTCCTGGACAGAACATCCCCAAAAGTCACATCCCGTGACTGAGAGCATTGTCCAAACCCCCCTGGACTCTGCAGGGTGTGCTGTGCCCACTGCCCTGGGAGCCAGGTGTGCCCCAGGTGTCAGGGAAATGGGGCAGCCCAGCTTTGTCTGCTCAGTTTCCCTGGCTGTGGAATGTGCACAATGATTCTCACTTTCAGCTTCACATACATTGATGACAGACTGTGAAGTAAGAGATATCAGCACCAGCTATTTATACTGTCATGCAGTAGGATTTCAGTTTTGAGAGAAGAGAACCTGAAGAAGAGATGGAAAACACCTTAAAATCAGCACTGATTATTGAATTTACACAGTCACAGGCTAGGGAATGTATACAACACACAAACTATTTTTTTCAGGAAGTTTTACACTCAACAGTGTTTCAAGCATCTAAATGTTTAGTATTATTTGCTCAGGAAAAGACACATAAGAATGCAATTACCAAAGCAATTCCTCAATTTAAATTTACAGACAGACATTGATTTACTTTATAAAATCTCTATGAAGAGCTATATGGGTTCAGATTGCCCTAAAGAAATAGCCCCTTCAAACAAGTCCATAATTCACAGTTTATCCCTACTATGGAGAGTTCTGGAGATGTTTATAGTTGCACTAAATCCTTAACAAGTATATACCATACAAAGCAATAGAAAGGAACTTGAACTACCCAGATTTGACACCAATATCAAAACCATAAAAAGGCTATTTTGCAAAAGAGCAGAATCTTTATCCTTCAGTTACAAGACATTTAAAGAAAAACAAGAAGCCATGGTGAAAGCTTGAAGGGAAAATTAAAGGAAGGAAGTCTCCTCATCCAACATTCAGGGTACTTTTGTCTGCATCTGTTCTTTTGGTTCAGGGTTGCATTTGGATGCTGAAAGATGGAGCAATACTATAAAAGCTGGAAAGTACTCTGGAGTGAACAGAGGCAATCACAGAAATTCCCATTTCTGTTTTGGCCTTGCCAGTATCAGGTAAGATGAAACACACATAAAATATAGTTTTTTAAGAAACATTCGCAAAACTTTATATAAGTATCTGAGAAAGCTTCTAAAGATCTAGAGCTCAATCTCATAATACAAAAAGCAGTTTTCCAGTATGTAAGGAAGAGAAGCAAGGAATAAAAGAGCAGAAAAATTTACAGATCTCAGAGAAATCATGGCAAGACAGCTCTTAAATCCAGGGGCCATGGTCCCTCTATCTTTGTCACTCAAGGGATTTAGTGAGTTAAAAGATGAACCAGAAGTTACAGAGTCAAAGGAGATAACCATGAAATTTCAGATGAGCCATCCTCTTTCCAGGAGGCCCTGAACCTCTTTTCTGAAAGGCAATGGCAGGTTCACCATCACAGTGCAGAGGAATTGCAGGAACACAGGAATTTCTGCTTACACATGGGTTGCTGAACCTCCCATGCACAGGAGAGCTGGGAATATGCCAAAGAAGCAGTTGCAAGAGTTAAGCTGCTAACAGCCAGAAGAGGTGATGACTGTCATAAAGCACCAAATTTGGCTGAGGTGGCTGTTTTGGGGTTTTGTTTGCCTGTTAAATAATTAAAGAGTGAAAACCTTTTAAGCTTATCTAAGAATTACATGAATTGGGAATGTAAATTTATGAACAGTCTTGGTCACAAGTTAAGGATATTACAAGTGTAGTTGCATTACAGAAAAGATGGAAAACAACTCCTACATTTTAAACAAAACTTTCAAAGTTGCTATCCAATTCCCATTACAGTGTAAAGAAAAATGGGCTTCCAAAATCCTTGAAAAGACACTGAAAATCTGTTCCTTATGTGGTGCTGAGATTCCAGTAAAAACACAGAGGCAAGAACGCTCTGTACAGTCAGGTTTTAATTATTTCTGATAGATTATCATCACTTACCCTGAAAGGTCTCGGTGGCTCAGACAGCAATGGGATATATACTTTTCATTAGAGCTGGACAAAGGTGAATAGTTAAAAACTGCACGTTCTATCATGAGTAAAAGTACTGAATTTTTGTTTGCTGTGATTCAAGGAGCCATTGCAGTGTAAGTGTTCCAAAAAATATTCAGAGATCCACACTGAAAAGCTGTAACATGGAAAATCCCTCTATTGATACATATGTGCGTTCACCACAGTGACATCCCACATCAATGTTTGGACATGCACCTCTTATTCATGTTACACTTATTTTACCATGACCAGAAATGCGAAATACTTGAGAAAACATTTTGTAAATCCACCTCATGAAAAATCATTTCCATGTGATTTTGATAATAACCAAAAAAAAAAAACCCAGAAGAGGTTCACAAAGGGTAAGGGAAGAAAAGGAAAGGTGATTGCAGCCAAAATAATGACAAGGCACTTCCAGCCCAGGCTCAAGCAGCAGGTGGAACTAAAACTCTCCAGTCTCAGCATTTCCTCACCTCTGCAGGGAAGAACCAGGGCAGGTGGGCCCCTACTGAAAGAAAAACTGGATCTGTGCGGTAAGACAGAAGAGTAGACCAGTGGCTTTCTAAAATACCTGTGGCTAAAGCACCCACTCCATGCACAGGAGGAACAGGTGAATGGGCTCCCAGTCAGGGATTCATTCTGCCTGCTGCTGCTGCTACAAATGTGCTAGGAATATTCCCAGTAACAGAGCTCCACGAATGCTGCCAGACTGGACTGCCCCATCAGACCATTGGGTTTGGATTATATAGATCATTATGCTGATTTCACACCCAAAATTTTCACCTGGCATGTTACCACTGGGAAGAAGACCCTCACTGCCACAAACACAGCAGTGTTTATCTAGGATTCACAGCTGCTTCTTACAGCCACTCAGTGAATGTCCATGTCAGGTGGTAGCATCTATTCTGTTAAATACGATCTTCAATCTAATCAATTAACAACTCAGAGCTTTATGAAAACACAGTAGGCCACAAGGAAAGAGAAAATAAAACTACAATGTGAAATCTAAAAAGCAGCACTGATTTTTGCTTTTTATGTACCTTGTTTTCTTTTAAAATCTTCCATGTAACACTAAACCCATTAACACTAAACTATTTAACATGAAGAAACTAAATTTTTAAAACTTAATTTACAGTAATTGTGCAAACACAACCCTATCCCATCAAAATGCATGTAGGGCTGCTCATACAACTTGTTAAAGGATGCTATTCCTTCAAGTGGCAAACATAACAGAGAACTCCTCTCAATGGCAGCAATGAGGAGCAAGAGAAGCAAACTGGTGATATCCAGAAAAGAGCCCTCTGCCTCCTTTTTCCTCAGCTGTTCAAGGTTCACTGCAGTCTGAAACAACCAAACACAGCCCAGCCATCAGGCTCCATGGCATGGGCTGCCTCCCAAAACTCCTCAGTAGCACCATCAGCATTTTTCCATCCATCACCCTCCACTGACCTGTCTTCAAAGACTGCTCCAGATAAATATCAGGGTTGGATGGGCACTGTTGTTATCCTAAGGCAAGATACAGCACTTGCCTTCTGGTTTGAGGAAGGAAAGTGTTTATGCCTTGTGTTCCACAGATATTTCAGTTGTATCAGAAAATGACCTTGTTTTAATTACTACAAGTCCTGACCAGCACTGTCCCAGCAGGTCACAGCCAGCCTGGTGACACCAGCAGAGAGCTGTGTCCAGCAGGCCAAGGTTTCCTGGGAGTGTTCAAAGGTCCTGTAAGCCAGATTGAGAGGACAGGAAGCAAATGACAACACACAGCAATTCCCTCACTGCAAAATGAAGAGGTCAGACACTTGTTTCTCTTTCTCCAGGCACACATGGGCCTCATTGTCTCCTGGGGACTCCCAGATTTTTTTGTGTATATTCAGTTTTTCAGAGGGATCATTTTGTTTAACTTCAAGAGAAAAAATGATTTTAGATGAAACTCTTTTTGTGTCAGGAGAAACTAGTAAATATCATGAAGGCTATGCATAATAAAAACCAAAATCCTGGTAATTTTGCTGGCAGCCAAGGAAAGCTGCTGTAGCTGTAGAGGAATGGTATGTTCTACAGAGTAACTGTCCAGCAATATTCTTAAGAGAGAGTACTGCAGCACTTCTCTGCCAAAATAACAAATACTATGTTATTCTGCAAATGCCAGAGATGTGAAGACAGGTGATGATAATGCCTCTTGTCCTTCAGTGTGAGGCCTGAGGATCCTCCTCTGTGAACCTGCATTTTTAAGATAGCAACATTTGCCAGATCTTGGACAAAAATCAATCCAAGAAAACTTTCCCAAAACAACGGAAGATTAGTTTGCTTTGGTCAGTTCCCCACTTCGAAATGTCACAAAACTTTACAGGCAATTCCACACAGGGTGCAGGAAAGGGAAGGGAGGGATGGGGGCTGTTTGTGCCAGTTTGTCACTGAACAAGAGGCTGGGACATCTCAGCTCTACCCCCAAAAGCCATTTTGAGAGGGGACAGAGGCGCTATGGTGGAAATACTGAGCTGCAACTGTTCACTTAGAGGCTTGCAGTACCTTCAGAAAATAAGATATGGGTCCTTCAAAAAATGGTTGTCCCTTACTTCAAATAGTTCAAATTCACAGAAAACATTTTTCTAGCAAAGAGCAAACTTGACAGCATGTTAAAGACAAAACAAACAACATACACAATAGAATCCAAGCACAAACTTACATTTTTGGTCATAAATGCTTCCAGAACACGGTTGTCACCTTTTATTCCCAAGACTTCAGACATCCTGGCATGCACCTGGAAATTAACATTTCAACAGTAACATACTATAGATACTAACTACCTTTAACACTTTCAGTTATTCTAAAACCTTCCCCAATTTGACTCTGCAGGAGGAAAGCACAGGCATAAGTGCCTCTACATCCAACCCATGACCTTGCAGGCTGCAGCACTCGTAGGAGATGGCTTATCCACTCTCTGATGGTGTCCTGATGGCTTATCCACTCTCTGATGGTGTGATGTGGGGGCTGAGGCTTTTACTTGCTCTTACAAACATTTCTTTGCACAAAGGAGTGCAAATTTTCACATTAACCTCACTTTGTTGTTCTTAGAACAATATAGTCTCTATTCAAAACCCTGGTTTATTACAGAAAATTAGAAAGGGGTGGAGAAAACATTTTTGTCAGTCTGTCCTCAGTGGGATGTCATTCAATGCTGTCTTTAGGCTTACAAATTCTTGCACTGCTGGTGATAGTATCTGGTGAATCTGGTACTCTTCAGACATTGTTTTGTGTCCTTGAAAGGAGAACAAAGGCTTAGGCAGCCCAATAGCTTGCAGCAGTGTATGTGGCCCTTTATTTCCAGTCCAGGACAGCCATTTCAGGGTCGGTGTCCCAGCACCCTGCCTGCCAGACCCGGCTGTGGGCAACACGCAGCTGCAAATGCACAGGACACAGCAATTCTATTTCTTCCTCACTGTGTAATCTCCATAAAGTTTTCTCGGGGTTTTAGCATCCTAACATTTAGTTCAGATAAAAACATTTTGTCAGGTTAAATCAACTTCAGAGACAGCAAGGTGACGATGGTGCAAAGCCGCTGCCCAAGCCTGTGCCGGCCCCTCCCCACACGCGCCAGCCGCGCTTCGTGGGCAGAACGCAGGGCCAGCCCTCAGGGGTGTCACTGCAGCCGCTCCAGCCCTTGGGGACACTGTCCCCTTGGGGACACCCGGGCTGCCCGGCATCGGCCTGCTGAGGGATCCCGTAATGCAGCAGCGGTGCGGGGAGAGGGCCAGCAGCTCCCAGCGGTGAGCGCCTGGTGCCATCTACTGCCGGCTCCCTTCCCCATATCCATCTACTGCCGGCTCCATTCCCCATATCCATCTACTGCCGGCTCCCTTCCTGATCCACGGCCGGCTCCCTTCCTCATCTACTGCCGGCTCCATTGCTGATCCACGGTCGGCTCCCTTCCCGATCTCCCTTCCCCATCTCCATTCCCCATTTTCCTTCCCCATCTCCCGCCGGCTCCCTTCCCCAGCTCCCTTCCCACAGCCCATCCCATGCCAGCCTCGGCACCTGTGCCACCGCACCCACACCAGCCTCCCTCTGCCCTGATGGAATCCTGCGACTTGCTTTAAAAACCAAATTACCAATGCTCCACCTCTGAGGCAATTAATAAGAACAATGAAAACAATAATAGCAACAATTGGATTTTCACATCCCAAAGGCTTTAAATTCCAGCTTACTAAAGTCAGGAGTATGTAAACTTGCAGCTGTAACCAGAAATCACAACAAAATCAAGGGTAACTTAATGTGTAAGCTAATTTATCCTTTTATAATTGTATGAATGTAGTTTTTGGTGGCAAAACCAAAGGACAATAAAAAAATGAAAAAAAATAGTATATAATACAATCTTTAAATGTTGCAAAATACTATGTTCACACTTGTAAGTGTAAAGTTATTGCTTACAGTAATTAGGCATAGCAAAAATAATATATTGAAATATAAAAATAATACCTTCCAATTAAAAAAAAAAATCCACTCCCTAAACAACGCACTGCTGAAATGCTACAGCAGCTGCAATTTTTGCAATGTTTCAGAATTTTTGCGTTTGGTGTCATGACAAGAAAAAAAAAACAGTAGCAAGGAATGCAGAGGCATCAGCAGCTACCCCTGTGTGTTCCGAGCCTTCCTTCGTGCTCTGGGAGCCAGCCCAGCTCATTGTGCTCTGCTGTCAAACTAGGCTCTCCCCGCATCAGAGTTTAACAAATAAAATACTAAAACAGCAGTCAGTGTTGACAAAGAGCAGTGCTTTAATCCACAATTATCCTTGTAACTCTTACTACTCCTTTTATCATCCATTAGCTTTGATTCCCATTATCCCATCAAGAACTGTGTCAACGCTTTTGTCCCTGGGGATTTCCCACACTACTAGGATCTGACAGACAAGCCTGAGTGCTAAGCAGGATCATTACCTCTTAAATCCACTTATCTGATCCACTGAATAGTAAATTGAAAAGCTCATTAACAGCAACAATCTGATTTGTTTTCACGTGTGACAGGGTCATTCCAAGTCAGCATGAATACAGCCCTCACAATAAAAACTACCCCATCTATAGCAAATTGTAAGCTAAAATAAATATGATATTTTAAACACCTTCTTCAAAATCATTTTCTAAACCCGCACATGCTATTAGCATACAAAAATAGAAAAGTAATCGCCTCCCACCACAGCAATGCAATGCCCCTGGACTTCTAAACACTATGAAAAATTAATGATAAAGCATTTTGGTCGTACAATTATAAAACACGCTTCAACAACAAAGGCTGTGCTACATATTCAAAAGGCGGAGAGAAACCCTGCTGAAAGGGGCCATAAAAAGCTGTGGAGGTGATCTCATCTTCTGCTTAGGTCCTGCAGGGAGCCCCCGGGTAAGGGCAGCAGAGCCCCAGATCATGGGGCTCCCCCCTTCACCCCTCCCTGCCGGCTCCAGCAAGGAGCAGGGAATCAACTTCCAGTGGGAAAACCTTGCTCAAGACTCCTGGAAAACAGTGACACAATGAGTCCCAGATCCTTATAACTGCAAGATTTACAACTCCAAAAGGAAATTCCATGTCAGTCCAAAGCTGTGTGACGAAAACATGTACGGCCAACAACGTCAGCTGGCAGGAGAAGACCATCCCCAGCTCACCTCACACACCCGTGGCCATGGGGAAACACCCTCACGAGTGGCAGTGTCAGGCTGTGATGTTTCAGGAGCTCCAGGAACCCAGCCAGGGCCTTTGGTTGGAGCTGGAGCTGGTGGCACCACTGCCCCCAAGCCCCAGTGGCGCTGCTGTGCTCAGAGGTGACAGCAGTGGCCATGGCAGCCAAGAGAAAGAACAGACCATCGAAACACCTTCCATATTGACCAGCCACAATTTCAAACATACTGAACCAAGTGTGAAAGCTAAGGATCAAGGGATCCTTCTTTTTTCTGTTTGTACCCTTATAACCACCTTGGTGGCATCAGGACCCTGAAGGAAGACAGCAGACTCACAAGCTCTGGTGCCAGGGAATTTTTTAATTATCCAGGAAATTTTATAGAATCCCAGCAAGATTAGGTTTGGAAGGGACTTTAAAGCCCATCCAGTCCCACCCCTGCCATGGGCAGGGACACATTCCCAGGCTGCTCCATGCCCTATCCAACCTGGCCTGGGACACTTCCAGGGATCCAGGGGCAGACACAGATTCTCTGGACTATCAGTTGTCCAAGTTACATAAACATACACCTCCCAGGTCCTTGAACTGTCCCAAAAGGACAAGAAATAAAACTGTGGAAGCAATGTTTTATAAAGCAAAATATTTGCATGTAAGTACAGACCAAGAAAAAAGAAATAATTCAGTAATAACACCAAAACTTTATTTCCTTCTCTTCCCTACTCTTTGGCCTTGGATATGTTTAACTTTGCTTTGCCTTTGGAAGTCTTCTCTTTTTGGCTCTAACATTATAACTCTGAAGAAGCTAATTATATCAATTCTTAAATGTGAAGCAGATTACAGAACTGGGAAGCTCAGAATATGAGTTCCTAAAGGTTGTATGGCTCAGTAATGACAGTCACAGAAATTCAATAACAGCACTGTATGGAATGTACTCAAACACACCCCATGAAACAAATTAAAACAGAGCAATGAATCTCTCACACTGTGCAAATAAGAAAGCACAAGAAAATGTTAGTTTCTACAGTTTTCATAAGGGCTATTATAATGAATTAAGATTTTGGATAATGAATCTTCAGAAAATTACAGTAAAGTTATTACCCGTAGGCACAGCGTAAATGCTGCAGATATTATCACTTCCTTGACGCCCTCCAGGCCTCGCTGCAGAGAACTATCACAGCAACATTAAAGCATTTTGTCATGAGCAGTGAGGGCAGAAGCAGACCTGCACCACGTTTACCCCAGCCTGGCAGGGTTGAAGCTCATGGAGCTCATGGAGGGGAGCCTGTCTGTCCCCGTGGTGTTTTTGGGAATCCAAACAAAGCAGGGGGGACTGCCATGGGGCTCTACCCCCCACCTCCCTGACCAACACGCCTCCAGCACCCACCAAACTCCACACTAACTGCAAGTGCCATTCTTGGTATTGAGTGCTAAAACACACTTTGTAATTTCCCCTGTTTTTAAAATCACACTCAGGTATTTTGAATTTTCAGCGCTTAAAATCATCAGTATAACACAGCAGAAATCCAGCTCAACATTCTGCAGTCAGCTTCAGGAAATGGGAACTGAATCCCCTAATTGGACCATCAGGGTGCCAGATCATTCATCTTTATCTCCTGATCAAACTGAGGGCTTCAAAAGCCCTGGCTTTTATCTCCTCTTCTTAGCAGAGGAAAACCTTGGTCACTTCCATTCCTGACCAGCTGTCTTAAAAAGCTAATATCTCAAAATACTCTTAGCTCAGAGCCTAAACAAGAGAATGAGCTTTTACTGGATTGCAGTAAACTCTCTAAACGAAGAAACTCTCCAAACAGGCCATAAGGAAATGCCTCAGTTAATTCAGACAGGATCTCTGAAGACTCAAGTGGATTTTCAGCTGCTTTCTACGTAGGCCTCTCTCCCACCCACTGCTACCTGTGTTCATAATAACCACAGCACCCAGACCAATTACATAAATGATATAGATGATTTACTGTCTTACCTCCAAACCCAGCCTAAAGTACTGCATTAAGTTATCCTCAACTGAAAGAGACCTACTACAACCTAACATTTAAAAATGAGGAGATTTTTATTATAACCAAGTGTTCTGTTTTAGGTGAAAGGGTAAACACGCTGTGTGGCTCCTTGCTATGGATGTTATTTCCCTCCTAGTCTGTTGAAATACTCTGCCACCACAAGCTCTGAGAGTAAGAGGTATTAACATTTCCCACAAAGGCTGTTTTCCAGGCCCTGTTCCCCAGTTCTTCCCCATAAGTTGGAGGATTCAGAGGAGTCTAGGGTGCCAGAGTGATGAACTCCCTGCTTCCTGATCTATAAAATGCCTATACGGTGCCAGCAATAAACTCTCTCTTACATGGAATTTGATCTCTATTTCAATTACTACCTCTCAGCTTTTATTTACTTATTTATTTATTTCTCCTTTTCTTAATCCATGTTTTCTGAAAATCTTGAAAGAAAGAGGTACAATTCTGCTGAACTTATACACTAGACCTACCATGAACTGACTGCTTTTATTACTGATGCAGCCTGAGAAGCATTCTCCGTGAAAAACAAAGAAGAAGAAAAAGAAATGGGTTTATCTGCTAGGTTTTCAGTTAGCCATTAGTTAAAAGGATGCTTAGCCTAAATAGTCTTGTTTAGACTTTCGTTTTTGTTAAGCACTGTTAGAGAGTTTTAATTCCACTGTCTCTTGTGTTCCCCTTCAGGGCTTAAAGAACAGATATAGTGAAAACGGAAATACTGTTAACAGCTGTTACTTTTTGAACACCTTCCAGAAGATTTTTAGCTTTTGAAGCACAGTGTTGGGCTGCACTTTCCATCAGAGCTATACACTGAACTACAGAAATTCAAGCCATGTATGCAGTCAAGGATTTGCTTAACAATAAGCCAAAATGCTGTTTTAGAATCCTTCGTGATTGAAATGAAGCACTACTGTGCAGTTACAGGATTATATTTGTGCCAGTCAGAACACTCCAAAAGATCCAGAAATACAGTAATCGAATAGCAGTAATCCACACTCTGACTTGTCCCTACATAACTATTACAAGTGTGCAGCTAAATTTTATTCAGATGCTGAATTGTATCTAAATGAGTGGCCCACTCAGCACACTTATGTGCAATAAACACTAACACTCAAGAATCTACATCACTTGGGCACTTAAAAACAAGGAATAAAATCAGAGCTACTTAGTATAGCTCTAAAACCTCTATATCCAAACCTATTGCATTGTACTGAATAACAGCACTTCAGGTGTTCTGCATCTCCAAATCAAGCCTTAAGCACATGAAATTTAGCAGGATCACTTCTTCTGAAGAGGTTTTGCACCAGGGTTGTACATAGTGCTTTTGCACATTTATCCCAGGGCATAAGGAGAGGTGTTACAGCCACCACAGCTAATACCAGCAATTTGAACAACCCTCTTTGGCAAGCCAGAAATAAGATAATGGTTCAACATAGGCCGGCTCCTCTGAAATACTGGCAGCATTGCCTCTAATTATAGACATCTGTCATTGCTAGCCACTCAGTAGTAACCCTAACATCAATATACAACTATAACACCACACTGCCTGCAGGCACAGCAATGGGAGCCAGATCCAAGAGGCGGGCAATCATCTGCCTCAGCCAAACTATCTGTCAAGGGCTCCTAGCCACAAATAGCTCTTACGTTTTGTATCCTTAGGATAATATGTTGATTTATTTTAGATCCTCTAATATTTACAGTCTAGGCCATCTACTAAAATACAGGAACAAACCCGATGGCTGATGGAGGTAGTTGCTGCTCAGAACCAGCACGGAAGGCCATAGCACCCGCACCAACACCAGGGCAGCTGGAACAGGCACCTGTGCCCCAACTCCCCTCCCCAAAATCTCACCTGGGCATTTCCAGCTGCAGGGCAGGGGTATGGCTATGCCCTCATCAGCCCACATTCTACTTACCAACCTGAAGGAGTATTTTCAGTCTGGACCCGGAGAATATCCGTGCCAAAGCCAGCACAGGGAGTTCCAGTATCCCACAGTTCCCCGTGTCCCTACAGAAGAGACAAGCTCTGCAGAATTATCTGCAACGTGCAATTTTGAAACAGAAATTGCATTAATGCAGTATGTTTACTGATTAAATACTTCACCACTGCTTAAAGGTAAACAGACATGTGCTGCTAACCAAGAAATAGTTTCTTGAAATGTACAGGTAAACATAGTGATTTTTTTTTTTAATGCTAGGGTGAAAATCATGCTGAAAACCTCAATATTTTCTTTCTTTTTTTTCTTTTTTGTCTTCATTTGAAAATCCATCTCAGAAAGGGGCAAAAAAGATTTTAAGTTTAAACTAATTAGGAAATAACTTCCTCACAATTATCTTAATTTGTTATTAACAAAACCAAGATTTCTTAGTATGATTCACAACAGCCTGTGCTGAAGAGAAACTATTAATTACTCGATAGACAGTTAGCTTTCAAGTGAGCTGCATTTTAAAAACCTCCTTTAAAATACAATTGCTAAATGCCTTACAGTGCTGTAATGTGAGACAGGTTCAAATCTTATTACTTCACTGAAATTAAAACCTAAGTTTTAATACTGTTCAAGTCGAACAATGATTCCACACTTTATTGCTTTTGAAATCCCTTGATGATCATAGGAAAAAATGCCCTCGAGAAAAAGAGACTCTGTTTTCGATAAACAGAAAATACAGTTTGCACTCTTAGCCTCTTTGTCATCACAAAAAAGGATTTAATGCCAATTCTTTAAAAAAAGACTTTTTTCACAAAATGTGCACCTTGTGTGCCATTTGTAAAATCAGCTCACTTTCTTTTATTTATTACTGCAGTGCGGCAAGGCAATAAAGCAGCTACTGATAGCTAATAAATTACATGCCTTTTAAAACAATTCTCCAGCTACAAAAAAACTTGTAACTACAAAGGCTTACATTTACATGGTACATCGTGTGAAGTGTCTACATTTATGTTCTACTTAACCACATAAATAAAATCTGACCCTTTATTAAACAGACAAGCATGAACCAGGGGCTCCACATAAGATTAAACAAAAGGTAACTTTTTAAGGCTTTCCTACAGATTTACATAACTAAACATAAAATTTGCACCAGTAGTTCACATGAAAGTATTTTTAAAATAAATTGCCTTTTTAATTGATGCCCTTCAAGATACCTTCAGGAAAAAAAGGTGAGCACAATTTTTCAATTACAGCATGATAACACTGATTTACACCTGAATCTAAAAATTAAATAAGGTTTTAAATAATAATTGCAACATATTACTGTAACATAAAACAATAATTCTCCAGCACATACCATGCAAACCACGATTTGTATTTTTAATTAAAAAAAGTATCAGAGCTTTGGGAAAGAATTTCTTTGTTAAAGTAGATTTAAACAAAAAAACCCCCGCAGTTTTATTTCATCATGCATCTCTCCAAGAAATGCTTTAAATTAGACATATCTATTAAGCTTGTTGAACTGCTCTTAAATAGTTTTGCTCCATGGCCAGCCCAGCCCTCACTGCTGACAGCACAGAGCGCTGAAGTGCACTGGCTTTGTCTTTCCATCTGCATTATTTTTAGGGTGATGTGCTCAACTGTTTTCATAAATTTCTTCCTTACAATTTGATTGTCTCATAAATCATTATCCTAAACATTACATTCCTTTTAATTTTCTCTATATCATCATGGAGCTAAAATTCAGACGTGTAGTTGAAATATTATTTTCTCCACTCACAATGATTTTTACAGTTCCTGAAGCTTTGGTTTTGCCTTGATCACACAACTTTCCCTCTGCAGTTCCAAAATGGCAGTTCTTCAATTGAGCATGGAAGCAGATCTTAACTCCCTTCTCGTAAAACCATTTAAAGACATTGCTGTTGCATGTTAAGGTAACACCCCTGACATGTCAGTAGGGTATGGCAGGACCAGGAATTCTTCCCACAGCCATCCATCACTCTGAGCTGAGATGCTGTGGGGCACACCTCTCACTCTGGACAAGCACTGCTTGATACAAAATGAGATGGGAAATAGTTTTCAGACACTTTCCCACTCCTTTATCCTAGGTTTACCTTGATAGTGTGTCTTCTTGTATTTTGCATCAGTGGTAAAACAGCAAGACGAAGACATTCCTTATCCAAAGCAGACAAAAACAAGGTTTAATAAACCATGTGGCCAGGGCAACAAACAAAGCAGAGCCTGTGGTTTCCTAATTCAGGTTAGTCTGTCTACTTGTGGGGATGAAATATTGGTGCAATTCTAAGATGGTTAAGAATAACAAGTGAATGAAGCCTGGTGTGTCTGTATCAGGAGGGTCCTTCGAGGAACAGAAGTCCTCAAAGCGCTGCAGAGTGGAAAGAGAATTTAATAGGACAGACCTTTAAAAACTACAGTTTGGTTCAAGAGGAGTTACAGATGTTTTTAAATATAAAAACACAGTGATACTCAAATACTGAAAATTCATCAACTCTGAATTTCACCCAAGAGCTCAAGCTAAAACGCAGGACACTGAAATCAAGAAGAACTCAGGAAAAGGGAATGAGCTGGTCTGACCTATAAGCACACAAAGTATTTGAGAGGCATAATTTAAAGAGAAGTTGCAAATCTTTAACTTCTGCTGAAATTAGGCAACTAAAAAATATAGCTAAAATTTGAGAGAGCATAGTATTAGTCAAGAAATTCCAAACACAAATATGCTGTAGAGATAACACAGCAATAGAGCCAACTCTGGATCACCAGCAGGGAGCAGAATTACAGTTACATGAGTATTTATCGAAAAGCTTACAAAAGTAATAAAAACTAATGAAACCAATCAATCAAAATTGGTCAAGAACCTTGATCAGTGATTATTCTCAGTAACACGTGGTGAGCTTCAGACTGCAGCCTTTGAAGTTGAAGTCGGAAACAAAGGGGTGACACCCTGAAGTTGTGCACAGAAAAACACAGCCTGCCTTGGCTCTGTCACCAGGCTAAGTGAGAAAAATGCAGGGCAGAGTAAATAAAGGCCCTGTGTGCCCAGCTGAGTGAGGCACACGGCAGGGAACGCCCTCAAGGACGGGGTGGCTGATGCTGAGCAGCCAAACGGGAGCTGCAGGCACCCAGGCAGCAGCACCCACGGAGCCCAGTGCCCTCCACAGCCTGGGCTCCCCAGGACCCCCGTGGCAGCCACAGCCTCTGCTGGGCACCCAGGCCTCCTGCGCTGCCTCTCCTCAGTCTGACTGACAGCAGCAGTCTTTAATCAAGCACATGGTCCATTCTGCTGACCCCTTCCGCAAACACGGTGATCTCACGAAGATGACAGATGCCATCAGACGCAGCTGCTCTCCGCTGGAGAATCTGAGGCACCTCAGAAACCCAGTGAGCTGGAAAGGTGCTGCTGACTCACCCCTATCTTATGAGAAATTGCTAAACTAAATTTTTAGTTCATATAGTTTAGCACATATATTGAGATGATTACGTTAATATCTAAATAACAATCTAAATGTTACTGTTATTCAGAAGAAATTGGTTATTAAAGAAAATGCATAAACTAGAATGGACTTGTGCTGTTCAGAGATTATTCAAAGATAGTCTATTCTATTAATGTTACTTAAATAATCAGATTCTGTGCACATTCTTATAAAATCTAAAATAATATGATTTTATATTGACTTACATACTAAAGTTTTTACGTATCTTGTGATCAGCCACTTTATTGTATAGATGATATCTATACAAATCATTTAATACTTAAATTGATATAAAACCCTGCTTCAGAAATAAAACTTTTGTTCCCAGAAGACATCTTTCTCAATAGAGCTACATGCCTCAAGAAACAACTCGTCAGTAGTGAGAATGCTCTGGAGAAATAATATGGAACCTTCCTCATGGCCTTCCTAACTGCAGTTCTTTTGATCCAAATTGATGCCAACTACCCACTCTTCCAGCAAAGATGATACAGATGAAGCCTGTGTGAAACACAACACTGAAACACTTGGGGTATTATTCCCCTCCTTGCTTCAGAAGAAGGGAAAGTGGAAGAAAGAAAACAGTTTGCCTTCCTGCGATGTTTAACAAAAGTGCATTTACGTCTGAAAAGCATATTTAAGAATATCTTCCTGTATGTGAAACAGACCCATATCTGGACATTACTAGCATTTTTGATTACTCTAAAAGCACACAAAAGTAAATGTCAGAAAGATCTCTGCATGGTCTAATAAAAATAATTTTATGAGGATGCGCCTATCTAATGAAATATGAAGCCAAGCCCAACTGCTGTTTGTTCTGCAAATTTGATTTCAGGATATGGAAAATGGTTATAGACAAGATAACAGTCTCCACTGCCCCAGCCTGCACACTGCCTGGGTGAAACAGCCTATCCCCGCTCCTCCCTGTGCACATGCACACAGATGCACCAGTTGTTCTGCCTTATACTAATCCAATTAGGTATGAAAATCACACCCTGCTATGCTACACCACACACTGACAAAGTCTAACACAAACCTGAACCAGATGCTCTGGAGAAAATGTTTATTTTCATTTTTGTTTTAACTAAAATACACCTTTTTCCTAAGTGGAAAAAGCCCCAAGCCTTCCTAAGTTCAAGTGATCCACAGATGAACCCAGGTTGTACTGCTTCAGACATTAAGGTTGTGACTCCATTTTTTTAACACATAAGAATCTAAGGAAGCCACGTGGCTCCTGGGGCATCTCTGGATACTATAAAAAGGAGCATTCAACAATTAACAATGAATTAGGTTGTGAATTTGTTGTGTGAGAGGAACCGGGGTGTGACAGCTTCAGAACACCTGTGAACAAAAGCGACAGTTGGCCGCGAGGTGTTCCACTGAATCATCGTAAAGTATGTCAGTCATCCTCAGAGAATGTTTCTCCTTTCTCTCACCCAACTTCATATTCAGTGCTTTTGGCAAAACATGTTCAAACAAGAAGACTTTCCATACTATTATTTATTACCTATCTTCACTCATCTGTTATCAACTTGAAGACAGCTACAGATATTTTTCTGGGGTGAAAGAGCTGTTATGAGGAGTTGTATTCC